CAGTTGCTGTCAGCATTGTCTTGCTACTCTATACTGGCTGCTATGCGTTCACGTCAGTTAATGTGCTAGAGTATGAGAAAACAGTCCCCAGTGGGACCTCAGTCTTTTGAAGAGATCTGCCCCCGCCCTGTTGCACTTTAGGGCTGCGCGGTCACGTGGTCGCGTTAGTACGGAGCCGGGAGGCAGACGGCAGAGCGTCAGGCGTTTGCTCCAGGGCTGGGTTTCGCGGGGCGGCTTTGTTCTCCGTCTGCTTTATCCCATGTTTTCCCGAGAAGGCTCTGAGGGGCCTTATGGGTTCAGTATTTATAGCCGTTTTCCCAAAGAAAGAGTATCTTACCCGCTTCTCCTGCAAGGAAGGATTCAATTTGTAATCGGCGTGATACCCGACCGCTCACGCTAGCTTTACCCAAGCCCCGCCCCTCGGCCAAACTTTCCAAAGGGGGCGGTCCTTCTGAAGAAAGGAAAGTGAAATTGAACCGGAGCCATTTCGCAGCCCAGCTCCCGACCCAGGCCTGTCCCGATTCCAGAGGCGCCCCTTGTGTCTGGGAGGCCGACGGCCCGCGCTGGGGAGGGTCGCGCGCTCTGCGAGGGTCGCGCTGCCGGCGATTGGACGCCCGGACATGCCTGGGGCGCGCCATGGACCCGAGGCAGGTAAGCGGCTGGGATCAGAGCCCAGAGCCGGGCCACTCACAACTTGCTCGCCTTCTCTTGGCTCAGCTTATCCTTCTTGTGCGCTCCTGTTCTCAAACGTGACTTACGCGCATTGTATGAGAGAGAGAGAGAGTGTGTGTGGTTTTTTTGCCAAGCAAAATTGCTGTTCTAGGAATTTAGGAATTTGTATCATGCTAATTAATCCTGCAGTGTTGAGCAAGGTGTGGAAGAGGGCTTGTGGGGAAAATGGACCCCCATCTGAGGAGCAAAGCCTGAGCTCAGGTCGGGACAACCCCTCAGTTTTTCTGCTAGGGCTCCATGGCTGCCCACCCCACCTTTAGCCCCTCTTGGACAGCGTGCTTTACTTTTAGCGGTCTCCTCTCTTAACTTGTAGGAGAAAGTTTATAGCAGCTTTATTCGTTATCTTTAAAAACTGGAAAACCCTAGTGTCCTTCCAGGTGATTAGATAAACTGGAATACATCCATATAATGGAAAACTGCTTAGCAAAAGGGGCAGGAACTGCTGCTACATGCAACATGGACCAATCTCAGATTGGTGATGCTAAGCAAAGAACCTGGATTCAGAAGACTGCACACTGTTTGAGTCCATGTATATGACATTCTGGAAAAAACAAACAAACAAAGCTAGAGGGGCAGAAAACAATAGTGGTTGCCAGGGGCTGGGTGTAGGGAAAGGAACTGATTGCAAAGTGCATGAGAAAACGTTTTTTGGGAAATAGAGATGTTCTATATCTTGATCTTGGTGGGTTGTTTTAAGGCTATATGTGCTTTGAATCTGTATAGTCAAAACTTGTAGAATTAACACTAAAAGGTAAATTTTACTGGATGTAAATTACACTTCAATTTGAAATGTATATAAAATACATGTACACATGTGTATGTGTGTACATATATATGTGCACATGTGTATGTGTATATATATGTAAAAATGCACACATACATGTATATATTTTCCTTCTTTAAAGGGATTAGGGACACCTGACTTGGAGGAAATCATTTCTTCATGTGGTAAAGGTGTGGGGCTGGTCTCTTGCTCCTGAATATATGAGACTAAAATGAAATTTTGCAGGGCAGTGAATATTGAGTGGCTTGTTACATAGTTTGCATAGTACATAAGCATGAGGTGGTGAGTGGAGATGTTGAGGAATTTAGGAATGATCACCATGGGTTGATTTCCCACTGTTTTGCTCTCACTCCCATTCAGTGACTCTCTTCCACATGGCTGTTCTCAAGTGGTGGTTTCGCTTGGTTTGACTTTCAGGGGATTTAAGGAGATATAAAGAAAAAAATACTCTCCCTCTAATTTTTCCCTAAAATAGCTATGGTTAACAAATTCGTGTATCCTTTCCTTCTGTCTTTCCTCTGTGTTCATTCTAGTGTGCACATGTTCATGGATTCTTTTTCCCTTTGTTTACAAAAAAAGGAATTACAGCATTCATGTTCCCCCGCAGGTTGCTTTTTTTGGTTAATTAAACATTGTATCATTCCTAAATAGATAACACATTAAAAAAAAAAACAGCCTGTGAGTATGGTTCGGTAGCACGAATGTGTCATGATTTGTTCAACTCTTCTGTAGATAGACATTCAAATAGTTTGCAGGCTTTGACCAAGTAGCAGCAGTGTAAATCTAGAAGGCATTGGGCTAGAAACTGTCTTTAGCCACTTTGAAACAAAGTTCTTTAACCAAGGTCACTCGAAGAGCTAATCAGAAACCCCCTGAAGTCCCCATAATTGAGCTCTGTGAGCCGGGCGCTCACTCTCTGTGCTTACCTATACCTTGGCCCCAGGTGGGGGTACGAGAATCGTATACCCCAATAGGAGTAAGGAAAGAGATGGGGAGGCTTCCAGTCAAGATGGCACAGTGGTTAGGACCGCAAGCTCGCCTCTCTTTGCAACTACAACTGAATGCTAAACAACCATCGGAAAAAAGACCAAAATCTAGCAAAAAAGATCTTCTGCAACTGGAAACGTAAAAAGGGAACCACAGCTGGACGGTAGGAGGGGTGTACTCGTGATATAATTGGGCCTCAGACACCCCGCGTGGGTCACCCACAATCTGAAGAATAATTAAGTCGCAGAGGCCCTCCCACAGGAGTGAGAGCTCTAAGCCCCACGTCAGGCTCCCTAGCCCGGGTCCTGGCATTGGGAGAAGGAGACCCCAGGACATCTGGTTTTGAAGGCCAGGGGGGTTTGGCTGTGGGAGCCCCACGGGACTAGGGGAAACAGACTCCATTCGCTTGGGAAATGTACACGGAAACTCACGTGCACCAGGTCCAAGGGAAGAGGCAGTGATTTCATAGGAACCTGGGCCAGGCCTGTCTGCTTGGTATAAAGGGTCTCCTGGGCATGTGGGGGACGGCTGTGGCTCACTCAGGGGACATAAAAGCTGGTGGCAGACATTCCGGGAATGTTAATCTACATGAGCTTTCCTGGGGGCTGACATCCTGATTGGATCATCAGCCCCAAGACCTAGCCCCACCCAACAGCCTGTGGGGAAGCCTCAGGCCAAACAACATGCAGGGTGGGAACAGCCACACCCATCAGCAGACTTCCTAAGCCACAAAGACCTCTAGACACAGCCCTGCCCACCAGAGGTCCAGGACCAAGCTTCACCCAGCAGTGGGCAGGCACTGGCTCCTCCTGCCAGGAACCCTGCATAAGCCTCTAGTCCAGCCTCATCCACCAGGAGCAGGTACTAGAAATAAGAAAACAACAATCCCAAAGCCTGTGGAAGGAATCCACAAACATAGGCCAGACTCTACACTGGGACTGGCTGGACCCTGACCCTTGGGTGACAAGAGAGGAGTGTACTGCTGGGACACATAGTATGTCTCCCACAGAGGTCTACCTCTCTAAGGTCGAGAAACGTAACTAACTTATCTAAAAATAAAAATAGGAAGATAGATGATATGAGGTAGCAAAGGAATATCTCCCAGGCCAAGGCACAAGATAAAATCCCAAGAGAAGAAATAAGTGATGAGGAAATAGGCAATTTATCTGAGAAAGAGTTTAAAGTAATGATGGCCAAGATGTTCAGAGAACTCAAGAGGAGTATAGATGCACAGAGAGAAGTTTTTAGCAAAGAGTTGGAAAATATAAAGAATACCCAAACAGAGTTGAAGAATAAAAACACTGAAATGAGTAATACACTAGAAGGAACCAAGAATAGACTAAATGAGGCATAAGAACAGATCAGTGAGCTAGAATACAGATTAGTGGAAGTCACTACTGCAGAACAGAAAAAAATGATGAAAAGAAATGAGGATAGTTTAAGAGAACTCTGGGACAACATGAAGCACAATAATATTCGCATTATAGAGGTCCCAGAAAGAAGAGAGAGAGAAAGGACCTGAGAAAATTTTTGGAGAGATAACCACTGAAAACTTCCCCAGCTTGGGAGAGGAACAAGTTACCTAAGTCCAGGAAGTGCAGAAAGTACCACAGAGGATCGACCCAAAGAGAAAGACACCAAGGCACATAGTCATCAACTTGACAGAAAGTAAGGATAAAGAGAAAATATTAAAATTAGCAAGAGAAAAGCAACAAATAACAAACATACAAGGGAACTCCCATAAGATTATCAGCTGATTTTTCAGCAGAAACTCTACAGGCCAGAAGGG